TAGTAAACAAGATATACAGACAGACCACTCAACCCAGGGTGACGCACCCACATACTCTATGGAAATGTATCCCTTGGAGCAATCAACCACAGGGCACCAGAGGGGCAACATTCACACTGAGGAAATACAGGACAAACAGGAGTGCATAACTGTGAGGGGCATGGGAGGAGGGTTACTGGGCAGGGAGGGAAGCAGACTGGGTTAGGGTTGGAGATGGTAAGTGGAGGCTGAAACTAAATGTACACGTAATGTTGAATGTAAAACAAACTCTTAAAATAAAAAATTAAAAACATTCTCACTTTGCACATTGAAGACATCTTTCCATTACTGTATGTTTTGGATACTGTGTGCTGCTCTAACAGAAAATACCACAGATGGGTGGCTTTAACAAACAGGAGCTTATTCCCTTCTAGTTATGGAGGCTAGACATCCAAGTTCATAGGGCCAACTCTAGGCTGGATGAAAGCCACTCAGCCTTGGGCTTCAATTCTGCCTCTTGCTCCACTGAAGCTGGAGGCTTTTCTTAACTCAGGCAGCTGCTAGCTGCTGAGGCTGGCAAACCTAAGGTTAACAAGTAAAAAGGTACAGTCTCAAGATTATCAAATAACATGGCAGGCCATTAGTTCAAGTCCAGAAAATGACCCAAGTTTAGCTGGGCATGGTAGGCTGCTGAATGAAGACTTGGCTATGTGCAGAGTCCAAGCTTGCCAAAAAGCTGCAGAGACCTTTCTCAGTGCTTCTCTTTATATTGGAAGCAGACAGCATCCTTGAAGCAGCTACTCAGCTACTTAGTGCAGATTCCACCATGGAGCTGATTTCCAATCTCACCATGGGGAATAACTACAACCAGCTGCCCAGCCTCTCAAAGCCTAGCCCAGCCAAGTTGACATATAACCTTAACTACCACACTGTATCTAAGATCACATTAACTTTTTGGGATAACCTCATCATTGTCTTGACTCCTGTCAAGCCTCTAAGTCTTTTGACACATAAGTAGTCCTGAGTCATCTATCCTGTACTTTTATACCTCTGTAGATACTCTTTAGGCCCAAGTGCAGGACCCTAAATTTTTCACTGTTCAAATTCATCTCGTTAGATTCAGCCCATTGAAACATCCTGTTGAAGTATTGTTGGGTCATAGTTGGGTCATCTAGCATATTTGTTTTCCTGCCCAGTTTCTTGTCATCTGCAAATTTGATAAGTATGTTTTCTTTTCTCCATCTAAGTCATTAACAGATATTGAGATAGGCTAGGCTAGAATCCTTCCATTGTACCATCCTGTCACTAGTAGATTTTAATGGGCAGGATTAATTGTGTATGGAGATGTGAATTGACACTTCAGACTGGTTGTTCCATAATTGTAGCAGGGGAACCGTCTTTCAGATGAGTATTCATGTTGTAGCTGCTTAGTAACTATTTAATGAAAGATAGTAGAAATAAGTATGAGGATAAGAATGAGAATAGGAATTAGCCTGAAAAGTTAATGACCCTTTTTTTATTTTCACTGTATGTGAAAATACATGGTAAGCAGCAGAACACTGTCTAGACTGATTAGAGGGAATGCAGTAGGAGAGAAAGAGCCTAGACATGGCCCTGGGGAGATGATTCATTTATTTATTCAGCAGATAAAGATATCTCTCTTCCTCTCCTTTCTCTCACTGCTCTCTCTATATAACCTCCTGCCACTGAGTTGATTCCAACTCATAGCGACCCTTTAGGATAGAGTAGAACTGTCCCCATAGGGTCTCCAAGGCTGTAAATCTTTACAGAAGCAGGCTGTAAAGATTTACTCCATCTTTCTCCCATGGAGTGTCTGGTGAGTTCAAACTACTGACTTTAGTTAGCAACTGAGTGCTTTAACCACTGTGTCACCAGAGTTCCATAGACAGAGAGAGATATCTGTATAGATATATGATATACCCATTAAACCCACTGCCAGCAAGTCAAGTCCAACCTTTTGGTTAGCAGCTGAGTGCTTTAACCACTATGCCACTAGAGCTCCTCGATATATGATATATATCTGTATATGTACAGATACAGATATGCAGGTTTCTCTTACTATCTGAAAGTAGAACATACCTATGAAACCTAAGCCAAAATGATGTCAAGTGAAGAAACAATTATAATTAATTCATATGGGAAACATTGTTGAGCATTCCTAGACCCAAAAAATAACCTACCAAATAACACATAAAACCAAAAATAACACTAACATATAGTGTTCGTGGACACAGTTCAAGGCTTTGGTGGCTTGATACTGAGTAGGTCCTGGGGAAGGAGCTTGGTGATGCCCGTCTTACTGCTGGGTATGTGTTGTGCTGCCCCTTTAATGGTTCACTGCAAAACAAATGCTGAATGCTAGTTTTGCTTTTCACCTTTTTTCATGAAAGTTTTTGTGTGTATAAAGTACCTACTGTGCTTAAACCCTGGAGATACAGTGGTTTAAAGAACCAGACTTGACCTTTGTCTTTAATGAGGATTACATTCTAGTGGGACAACAATTTAATAATTACACATAATATAATCATAATATTTTCTATGATGTATATTCTAGACCAGTGCTGTCTAATAGAAATATATTATAAATCACATATGGAATTTAAAATTTTCTAGTAGTTACATTTAAAAAAGTAAAAATAAAAAACCAGGTGAGATTAATTTTAATGTTTTATTTGACCCATTATATCAAAAATATTATTTCAACATGTAAACAATATAGAAGAAACTTTATATCTTTTTTCTTCAACTATGTCTTTGAAATCTAGTGTGCATTTTACACTTACAACCCTTTTGAATTTGAACTAGTTACATTTAAGGTGCTGAATAGTCACATGTGGCTATTGACCACCATATTGGACAATACCATTTTATACTCAGCTTTATAGACTACTCTGTAGTGTTGGGCAACTTATTCCTTCTTTAGAATTCCTGTTGTCATCAGTAAAATGAAGAGTTTAGACTTGCTTATCTCCTAACAAAGGAGCCCTGGTGGCGTAGTCGTTAAAGCACTGGGTTGATAATAAAAAGGTTGGCAATTTTAAACTACCAGCTGCTCCATGGGAGAAAGATGAGTCAGTCTGCTTCTATAAAGATTTACAGCCTTGGACATCCTGTGGGGCAGTTCTACAACGTCCTGTACGGCCACTATGAATCAGAATCGACTTGATAGCAGTAGGTAGGTTTATATTCTAACAGGTAAACGTGGTCTCTTCCAAGTATTAATGAGATTTCTGAGGTGCTCTAGTCTGTATCATGATCTGGGTAGTAGTTACATGCATGTAAATTAAAAATTCACCAAGCTTATAAATAGACTACCAAGCATAATTCAAAATGCACCAACAGCAGAAGAGAAGCCAGATGATTGGGACCTTCTAAAAATTAAATGTTTAT